GGGTGGGTGGGTGGGTGGGTGGAGGGATGGCTGGCTGGCTGGCTGGCTGGCTGGGTGGATGGATGGATGGGTGGGTGGGTAGGTGGACAGTTAGAACTTAAACCTGAGAACACTGATCTGGGGAGAAAATATGGAGTCATCATGATTCCAAGCTCAGTCATCCAGGCTACTGTCCCACGTTCCCCCTGCATCCCACTCACCTCCCCCCATCCAGCCTTGGATTCCCTGTCCCCAGAGATGGAGAGCTCCCAACCTGCGCATCCACTGGACTAAGAGGAAGCAGCCCTTCCTTCAGAACGGCTGAAACGAGCTCCTTCCAGCGTCTAACCCGCTGGCCCTACCCAGGCCTCTGCATCAGCCCAGAAGGAATTCCCTCCCCTTCTCCTCCAAACGTGTGAGGCCCCGGGTCCCTCTTCCCCAGACTAATGCCCTCAGTTTCCTTACAGCAGAAGCTAAATGTGCAGTCCACAGACTGGATTCAGCCAGCAAACGCATTTTGTTTGGTCAATAGAGTTTTCCTAAAAACAAACTGAATGTATATTTATTTATTTATTTATTATTATTATTATTATTTTTGGCAGGGAAAGATGCGCCCTGACCTAACATCTGTTGACAGTCTTTCCCTTTTTTTCTTTTTTTTCCCTCCCCAGAGCCCCAGTGCATGGTTATATATCCCAGTTGTAAGTTATTCTAGTTCTTCTATGTGAGCCCCCACAGCATGGCAACTGACAGACGGGTGGTGTGGTTCCGCAACTGGGAAGCGAACCCGGTCGGTCAAAGCAGAGCATGCCGAACTTTCACCGCTAGGCCATCAGGGCTGGCTCTGAACGTATATCTAAACATCTGGGGAAATTCACAAAAATCTGGATTTCCCCCTCATCTCATCATGAAAAAGAGAATATGGCCACCTGGAGCCCGCAGTCCCGCCTGGCAGCCCTGGGCAGGAGTGGAGTCACGGCCACTCCTTCTAGACAGGGACGAGCTGGCAGGGTCCTCACAGTGGTCCCCGTGACACTGCAGCTAAACGCCTGTTGCCATCTGTCACCCCACTCGCACTGGTTTCTTCTTAAAGCAGAGAACCATTTCCCCGTACATATATTTCTACCAAAAGTAGGCAATGAAAAATAAACCAAAAAGAAAACCAAGAAGGCGACCAGGTTTCACGCTGTGGAAGTGAAGCCCCTTCCTACGGCGCCTCCTCATCAAATTAACACCTAACACTGCGGAGGACGGACTGTAAATAACTGCATGTGTAAATACACATGTGACCTGTAGGTGGCGCCAGGAGCCACAAAGAAAAATGAAGCTGGAACGGGGTAATGAGAGAGGGCCATCAGAGTAAATGGGGTGTCAGGAAGGCCTCTCTGAGGAGGAGACACTTGAGATGAGACTCGAATGAAGGGAGGCAGGAGCCACGCAGACATGTAAGGAACAGCATTCTCGGGCAAGGGAACAGAAACTGCAAAGGCCTCAAGGTGGGAGCGTGCCTGGCCTGTTCAAGGGACAGTCAGGAGGCCAGAGAGATGACGGGAGAGAGCGAGGGGAACACGGGTAGGGATGAGGCAGGAGGGGTTGGGGCAGATCATGCAGGATCCTGTAGGCCAGGGTTAGAACTTCGGATGTGACTCTGAGCGAGGGGCCCACACAGGACAGGTTGGAGGGTTAAGTGGTGGTTTGGGCGTGAGAACCTGCACCTCCACATCAGTGTCCCCGAATCCAACTTGCCCCTTTCCCTTCTGTTACAGGGGCTGCAGATGGCGAGGAAAAGGCCCGAGGCCGCCGAGCCAGGAGGCAGGAGCTCCAGCCGAGGCCTCAGGGCCTGAAGACACCGGGGTCCATTTACATCTGACCCCTGCCCTGTGCCTGCTGTCACCACGGGCCTAAACAGACTCAGCTGCCACCACGTCGTCCCCACCTCCCCCAGTGCCACTCTCTGACTTCTCTGCCCGCACAAGGACTCAGGGCGGCAGGAGCCAGGAGACCTGGCCGTGCTGTGAACTTGCTGGAGGTTTCAGCTGGACCCCAGTCTCCCCATCGTCAGTGACGGTGCCCCAGACCACCAGCACCCAACCCGCTGACAGCCTTGACCGCGTCTGCACCACTCCAGGGTGAAATGGGAAAAACGTGTCCCTCTCACACACCAAGGGTCATGCTTGAGAGTGTAGGCTCTGCAACCAGCCCTGCCATGACCCCAACCCCATGGGCTCTCCAGGCCCCAGTTTTCTCATCTGTCAAATGGGGTTTGTAAAGCAACAGCTTCCTGGAGCTGTTGTGAGGATGAAATGCATTAACACACATTGAGCCCACAGGCACGCACATACATATGTGTCATAAGTGTCCCCGTGTGCCCACAAGTGTCAGCGAACGCCTGTCCTTTGTGCTGAAACTGTGTCCCTCCAAATTTCTAGAGTGGTCGAAATGTCCTTTCCTTTATGAGATGCTGGTCAGCTAACGGCAGCTCCAAAAATCAGCGAGCTGTCCTCACGGCCGCTCTTTCCCTCGCGGCCTGCGCCCACGCTCCTCCGCCGCCTCCACCACCCCAGTCCAACCTTTCAGCAGCTCCCGTCAACTCCGGCCCCCAAAGCTACCCCAATTCTCGCCGTCTCCCCTGTCAGCCCCCGGTCCAGGCCACCGTTCTCCCACCTGGGCAACCACAACAGCCTCCTGCTTCTCTCTCATCGCCACACACCGACCTATGTTCTAGTCTCCATCCGGCAGCCAAGGAGAGCTCTTAAAACTCTAAGTCCAACCACATCACACCCCTGTTAAACCCCCAATGTCACTCGTCTTACTTAGAATAAATTCCGTGGCCTTGAGGCTCTGTGAGACCTGGTTTCACAATTTCTCTGCCCTCATCTCCACCCTACCCCCTTGGCTCATTAGGCTTCAGCCACATTGGCCCTCCTGCCAAGCTTCTTCCTACCCCTGGGCCTTTGCACTTGCTGTTCCCTTTGCCTAGAATCTTGGCATGCTGGGCATCCTGTAGTCAGGCCTCCACTCTGAGGCCAGAACCTCTGAGAGGCCCTCCTTTTCGGTTAAAAGAACCCCCCAGGGCCTATCACCCCATCTGCAGATCTCTGTCGCATTTATCACTCTCTGACATAATTGTCTTTATTATCTGTCTCCCCGACTAGTGTCAGCTCTGTGAGTTTTGGGACTTCATCTGTTCCCTGCTGCATCCCCGTGCCTGGAACAGTGTCTGGCACTGCTGAAGGAAGGAACATTCAGCAGTGCAATTTTAATATAAGTTTACAAGGTCTGATAAAAAGCTAAAGGCCTGGGTTGGTCTCCCAAACAGTTTGTCTTCCTGGTCTGTGAGGTTCCGAGGGCCGGAGTCCACAGGAAAGACGGCCTCTGAAGCCTCGTTCTGCTACCCCCTCTCTGGGTGACTGGCGAGGCCCCTTTTTGGGGCCTGTGTCTCCTTTACAACTCAGAGGCTGGGCCAGGTGAACACCTGGGGTCCAGATGCAAAATGTCACCTTGCAGTCTTTGCTTTGAGTGTCCCAAACAGCTTCCCCCCCACAAAGTCCCCCTGGTCCCTCTGCCACTATTGTGGCAGACCCAGGTCCAGAGTGGCGGGCTCTGATGCGGGGGGCGCATGCGCTCACCTGAGTAGGAAGCTGTAGGAGAAGTCGAAGAGCCCCATCTCATGCCAGCCACTGCCCGCCTCTGTGTCCCCCAGCAGGACAGTGAGGAGGTTGGTATACATGGCTTCCGTGAGCGCCTGGAGGTCTCTGTGGAGGAGAGTCCTGGGGCAGGCAGCAGAGTAGTGAGTGTAGCTTCCACAGGGAAACAGATGCACACGGGCGCCTCCCCCCCAGACCCCAGGGTCCCAGGGCTCCAGTTCCTCACGGCAATGGGGGCCTTTGGAAGACTGGCTTCAACAAGATGATGTTATTATTACTAGTGTCATTAACAACAACGATAGTTACCATTTATTGTGCTAAGTGCAGTGATCTCATTTCATCTCTTGACAACCCTAGAGATGACAGTTACTATTATGATACTCATTTTACAGATGGAAATTCAGAGAGCAAAGTGACTCGCCCAAAGTCACCCAGCCAGTAAGTGATACAGCTGGGACTGAAACACCAACCTGCCCAACTCCAGAGTCTGAACTCTTAACCCGGATAGTCTGTCCCTCCTCGGGGCACACAAGCCCAGGTAAGGAGCCCACAGACTTCTGGGAGAGAGGAACTAAGAGACCAACCCTTTCTCCTTGAGATCCACAGTTAGGGAGACACGTTTGGATAAAGTATCCCCTGACCAAAGACTGCTAATGAGGCATGACCCCAAGCGAATGTGACCTGAGGAATACGGGATTCTGGCCAGTGACCTGGTCTCAGTTTGTGCCCAGGAGTCTGGGGAGAGAACCAGCTCTGGGAGAGTGTGGTTGAAGCGAGAAGCCCCCTCTTAACTGAGCCTCCACGACACAGAATCCACGTCGGACCATAACTGAGTGTGTGGTTAGAAACCAAGAAAGGAGGGATCTTGTCTCTAAGGTTAAGGCCCCTCTGAGACATGTGCGCGGATCTAGACCAGAGAGGGCACCACCGCGGCCCGTGAACAGAGTCCGCGGGCGGTGCAGAGCCGACTGCAACAGCGACACCTTGTGGCAGCAACAAGAACAGTGCTGGTGAACTGCTCAGGTGCTCCAGCTCTCTGCCGCCACCTGCTGTTTGGAAATAGGATGGCCCCCTTCAGACTCAGCCCCCAGGTTCTTGGATAATTCAATAGGGGAAAGCCTCCAGAGGGGTTCCATAAACTCCCAGGTAATAAAAGCTTTTGGATGTTCAAGCTGGAACATTGTGGAAAGACAATAGACATGACCCATGGGAGATAATGTGTGTAAAGGGCTTATTACAGCACCTGGCACATTGTAAATGCTCAACAAATGGGAGCAGACACAGCAGTTGACCCTGATCCAGCTGTTCCCCTGACCCCACTCCAAGCACACTAGTCCTTGATGGAGACAGTAGCCCTCAGCAGCTGTGGCAGCCACGCCCAGAAGACACCATGCCGGCTTGTGAGAAATTCCTGGACACCCTTGGGGTAGACACTGGAGGAAACTGGGGTCCTCCCTGGGCAGGGGGAGTAGGATGCAGCAAACTGTGGACTCCTGTTGCTAATGGAATGACGGGACCCAGGACAGTCAGGCTCAGAAATGCTCCTAGCAGCTGTCCCAAAAGCCAAGGTCAGAGGGGCACTGCCTCCATCAGTGTTCACCTCACACTTTCCTCAGGGTTAGCAGTCCTGAGAAACCTACCTTCTAGATGCTTTTCCTAACTCCAGGAGGTTACTCTTCTTAGAGACAGATCACTAAAGATGACCCTCAGACTGTGTGAACTCTTCAGAGGGGACACAGAGTCTTATTTCCTCAGTATGTCGGGTGGAGGAGAATGGGCCGTGGAGGCTGCAGACCTGGGTTCAAATCCCAGCTCTGCCACTCACTAGCAGTAGACCATGGGTAAGTCACCTCACTTCCCTGAGCCTCAGTTTCCTCATCTGTAAAGTAGGGATAAAAATACCTACGCCTTGACTATTGCCCAGATATGAAAGCATGCCTATCAAACATCTGGCATATGGCAGGTGACTTCAAATGGTCGTTGGCATCATTCTGCAGCCCTGCAACTAGGACGGTGACCAGTGTACAGAGGTCCTCCGATGTTTGCTGGATTAACGCAGAGTAAGTGTGCTCATAAGTCCTCTTGTTGACATAATTACTCCTTATGTTTCAGGACCTGGGCCACTTCCTAGCTGTGTGACCTAGAGCAAGTCACTTGTCTTCTCTGAGCCCCAGTGTCCTCTGTAAAGCGGGGCTATAAGTTACTTTCCCTCCAGCACTGCTGTGGAGACTAACGAGATCATGCATGATGCCTGGAACAGAGTATGGTCTCAAACATATTAATCACCCACCCACCTCCCTTCACTTTATAGATGCAGAAACAGAGCCTCAGGAGGGGGACTGACCGGTGCAAAGTCACCAAGCCAGGAGCTGGTGGAGCTGGGACTTGAATCTAGATCAGGCTGACCCAAACCTGGTCTCTATCCACTAAAATCAGAGCTGCCTCCTAAGAAGTAAAGAGTTCTTCAGCCCAATTATTTTGGGTTTTTTTGTTTTGTTTTTGTTTGTTTATTCAAAACAGACGTCTTTCCTGGAGCCCTGGTGTGGAGAGAGGCCCGACCCACACAGGACGTGGGCTGGGCAGGTAGCAGCAGCCCCCCGGCCCCCACAGGCGCCGTCTCCAGCACTCACAGTTTCATCCTGGCCTTTTCGTCACTGGGGCTGTACTGCGGAAGCTGCACATCAAAAATCCTCTCCATGAGGAAGACAGCGTAGGCGTGGAAGTCCAGCCTGGTGCGAGGCTCCCAGACCACCGTTTCGTAGGAGTGCGGGTCCAGGAGGACGGTGACGTACCTGCCCCCCACCAGCACCTGCGGAGCAAGGAGCACAACCGGGAACAATGGCAGCTCTCGGTGCTCAGGGGCCCACCCTGTGCCTGGCACCGGTCCCTCAGTACTTCACGGACAATGTTCTCTCTGCCCCTCACGACCACCCTGTGAGGTAGGGACCATCATCCACCCGTTTACAGCTGAAAAGTGAGGCTTGGAGAAGGCACATATGTGCCCGAGATCACACAGCTGAGAAGTGGCAGAGCTGGGCCTGGAATTCAGCGCTTTTTTGAACCAAAGGCCATGCTCTTAACCATGTCACTCTTAAGCACCTGCCCTGGTTATCTTGGCTACTGTCATAGCTTCAGCAGCCAGGGGAGAGTCTGCCCACGAAGGCAGCAGAAGGATGTTGTGTGCATCATAGGTGGATGGATTGGATGGATGGATGGATAGAAGGATAGATAGAAGTATGTTTGTGGATAAATTCTAGGGGATAGATTGTAGATGGGTGGGTGGATGGATGGATAAATGAATGGAAGGAAGGAAGGATGGATGGATGGATGGACTGATGGATGGATGGATGGATGGATGGATGGATGGATGGATGGACTGATGGATGGACGGACGGATGGATGGACGGACGGATGGATGGATGGATGGATGGATGGA